TCTAGAAACCCAGGTTACCTATGTTCATTACCTTACAAATTTCTGCCATATTTTCATGATTAACTCTGTGTTACCGCAATGTCAAAATCTGTTTTAGAGGTCAGAGAAATATTTCTGAATTGCAAAATTCTTGAGGCCATTTGCCTTGCCTTATAAAACAACCATTTATATAGGTGGCAGTGATGTCAGGTGGGCTGAAATGTTCAGTCAGGTTAGCTAATGTCAGCAAGAATAGCATTGGGTGGTTGAAATAGCTTATCCCCTAAAGACTATCAAAAGCGTATACATACACAGTGTGGGAGGCCACATTTAATCTCCCGGGACACACTTCTTACACTGTTGAAATTGGAAGTAGAGATTTCTAATATTCCTGTGATGGGATTTATTACTCTCAGTTTTCCTCTTGAGTAAGTGAAATAACTTACCCAGGAAAGAAAATAACTTATCTTGTAAAGAAAAACAGGAGAATCGTGCAGAATTAAAATTAGTATGCCAAGTTCCCATTACTTGTGCACTTAATTATAGTCTAGAAATTTACTTCCAGAAGAAGGGATGTATTTCCAAATAAACTTCCACTAAGATTTTTAAAGCAGCAATTGCACCACTAGAAAATTCCTAGTTGAGTTCTCAGAGAGTAAACAGACAAGAAAAAAATAAAAAAGCAGAAAGACTGAAACAACCAACAGGGTCTAGAAAACATGCCAAAAGACTGCTTTAAAAAGGTTCCATCTGTAAGCTACGCTCAGCTGGTTCTTTGGGAGTTCAATTTTACTTCATTTTATATTTTATTCTCCTTGGAAGTCAATCTGAGCACCCAAAAGCAAATTAATTTTTAACCTGTGAGTAAGGACATACCTACTTTGAAGAAAACATGACCAAATCCTCTGTGTACTTTCTTCATTATATACATTGCGCAAAAACCTCGAAGATACACCGTGTTGCTTAGGAAAAATACATAAAGCATTTGGCAAGTTCTGTTACAAAGGGACGATGCCCAGCAGGGGAACCAAGACATCTGTGTCATCTGAAACTGAAGGCTAGAAGTTACTGTCAACCTTGAGTTTGTCCGCTATCACTGTACTCATAAGCATTTGAAAACAATTTTCTCTGGGCTCAGGACTCAAGGTAGCAGGCACTCCGAGGGATAAAATAATGTTACTGCGTGGCTGTTGTCTTTAAAATGTCTTAAACTCGCTAGGGAGATTAGATCAATGTTTAGGAAATAATTAGAAAACACAGTATAAGAAAATAAAAACAGTGATAAACTAGTATATACACAATTTCTAAGGAACCTAAGGGAGAGTATTAGATACAGATGTACAGATGACTAAATTGTTTTTTTTCCTCTCTGTCCTTTACCCAAACACACATACACACACATACACATACACATACACATATACATACACATACGCACGCACACACACAGAGTAAATACACAAAAACTCAGTCCGTAACACCTAACACAGGACTCCCTTCACTCAATACATGAATCCCCAAAATAACTTAATATCAAGAGAAAATTAATTTTGAGAGAAACATCTGCTCCATTCATATTGAATCTAGGAAATTTGGTTCGTGAAATCTAAGACTCTTTTATGATCAAGCTTACTTTTTCTCATTGCTAAGTGTGTGGTATTGTTTATTTCCGTTCATGGTGGAAATAAAGAACATGGAGGCATTAAAAGAAGGGACTAATTAAATTGTTTTTCACACTGACTAGTGACTATTTCTGTTCTTATGAATATGCCCTCATTTGTTCTGTTCCTTACTAAGAAATTGCTGAGGGGATGCTGAGAGATAATGGCTGAAGAGCTTTGTGTGGGGAGTGAACACAGCTCATTCGATAACTTCTAAAACGACTTTGCTAGTGTAAATCTATATTTAGCTCTTAGTTTTTCCATGGGTGACTGAAACTCATCTTGTAGAACATGTTGCTTTTTTGTTCACTGATTCAATTCAGCAAACATTAAGTGCCTACTGGATGCCACAGAAGCACTATAGATATAAAAATCAATGGAACTTTAGATATAAACTAAGACCAATGTCTGAAGTATTGTGCATTAAATGTTAACTTATTGTTTATCTCCTTTCCCACCCACTGCTCCAAGCAACCACTAACCTGTTACCTGTTACTAGAGATTTGCCTTTTCTAGAGTATCTATACAGTGGAATCATGTACTATGTGGACTCTAATGTCTTGCTTCTTCTACTATGTTTGTGAAACATACTGAGGTTTTTCCGTGTTGTAGTATACACTCATCGTTCAAAACCAGAACTCTTAACAACTATCAGAAGATAGAGAATATTACATCCAGAACAGAAGAGGAGGATATAACGAGAAAGCAACAAACATAGGGAAATGGAAAGCATTTGTACATTAAATAAGTGCCAAAATAGAAATACATTGAAAACAATGAAAACTAAAGTTGAGGAAATTTCCAACACTAGTAATCACTATTAATAGCTTTGTTTATATTCCTTCAGATCTTGTTTTTTTTTCTATTCTGTGCACTTAGATATTAGTTTTTAAATAACATGTAAAAAATGAAAGTTACATACAGCCACAAATAAAATTAATTTATATAAAAGAAAGTTGAACAAAGAAAAAATGTACACAGTATATCTTCATAAAGGAACATTTTCCAACCAGAGCAGGGCATATTGGTAGATTTTATTGTCATCTTACTCACCTATATGTGGTCTTTTTTATCATGCTATAGTTATAATCTTGTATCCAGCTTTTCTCACTGAAGCTTTCATGACCATTCTCCTGTTAACACATAGACTTTCAAAGCTTTACTTTTAATAACCGCCGCATAATTGATCATGAATCTTAACCTGTTATTTAAGGCATTCTCATATTTTCAGATGTATAAATGAATGCATAATGTATATCACCATGTAAACAACATTGTTCTGATCACAAACTGTTTCCTTAGGCTGGATTGTCATGTGAAATTCCTGAGTTAAAGAGTATGGATACTTCTTCAGATCTTTGTTACATATTATTGGGGTTTTTCTGTCAGAATTATAACCTTTCTATATGACAGTCTGTACAGATTTGAAAGCAGCACTTAGCAATAATACATTTCTCATCTTTTTTTGTCATAATATTGTAATTCTAAGTTATATAATATGGCATTAGTACTTTAGCAACACAGGAATTTAATTTTGGGATAGTGTGGAAAATACTTTATTACATTTTTATTTTATATTATTATTTTATTACATTTTTTAGATTACAGTAGCTGAAAAATGCCATGGTACGATAATATACTTTATCCTCCAACATTGACCAGTAGAGATTCACCTTCCTACCAGTGTGCGTGCACACACACACATAAACAAGCAAATATGAACAGTGTGCAATATTTTTTCATTTTTAATGGCATTTACTGTTTTCTTTCTAATTTTATAAGCAATGTTTGTTCATTGCAGACAACTAGATATTCATAAAAACATAAAGTGAAAAATGACAATCATCCATAATCCTCATCCCCCAGAAATAGCCTTCATTAGCATTTTGATGCATCTGCTCGTAACGTGATCCTCCTCCTGTTTAGGGTTGCCTCCCAGGGCTGTGGGTCCTGACTGTATCGCATGTGTGCCCCTCCTACCTGACTCACTGTGCTTCCTTCTTTGTATCTTTAGTTGTAGCAGATCTTTTCTACTACTCTTCAGGTTGTTTTCATCAACAGTTGCTCTGTAAATAGTTGTAATTTTGGTGTGCCTGAGGGAAGAGGGGAGCTCAGTGCATCCTACTCTGCCATCTTGGCCCCGCCACAATATTATTTATTAAATTTGAAATATGTTTACCAGCATGAACAATAACATAATTGGTGGCTTAGGTGGCAGTTCCTAAAATCCTCTTAATCGCCAGATTGGTTCAGATGCGCTTCTTTGGTACTCCCAGAGTGCCTGCATTCTCTTTGTCTCACCAGATTGCATTTAAATGAAAACTAAAAGGAACCAATTTTTCTTTTTACCACCAGCAGGTAGGTCATACAAAAGTAGATAGTATGTTTGATTTGTGTTTCCAGCTCTAACATCAAGTACCTAGTGCCTCCCACATAATTTACCCATAAAGTTTATCAACATGGATGGAATTTCTTTAAATAAGTTCATTGGAGTGTGAATTTGGGTTGCTTTCAATAATTATTTTGCTGTATTTCCTTTTGCTAGGAGACTGTGCATTTCGGAAACACTTCTGCCATTCCTTTTTTCAAATACGTTATCTTGAAGCAAAATTTTTCAATTCTGAATTTTTTAAACAAGCAAAGTCTACAGGATTTTAATAAATTTTGGAAAATGAAATAGAAAATCATCACTTTTTTAATTTAGTGAGCTAATAAGAAAATCCAAATTTGCAACTGTCTGCTTACCTTTTAGTGGGAATCAAAATTTTAACAAAGGATTTTCCTTAGAATTTACTTACATAAAAAGCCACTCTGAGAATTAGGAAAATAATGTTTTATACTGATCTTATTGGAGTATATGAACCACCTAACACATGTCTATAATGCATACATCTGAACCTGTGATCTAGTTTTGTTTGATCATAGGACTTTCTAAGCCAGTGATTTTGAACTCACTTTGGTTTCTGTCTTCCAGAATTCATAAACTTCTGTCTGACCATAGTCTCCTCTTGTTTTCAGCTCCATTTTGGATTTATTATTATTTTTTCTGCATTTTTTTTTTGGCTGTTATTTCAGAGGGATTGGAATGGGAGCTGAAAGAAAATTAAGTTCTTTCAGCCTTCCCTTTGTACCAAAAGCCTCAATTATTTAATTTTTTTTCAGATTAACTGTTAGCAATTGGGTACTTTTAATTATCAGAAAGGATTTCCTGATAAAGTAGAAAATGTTGCTAATCATTGATTTCTCACATCATGAAACTCTTATTCTTTTTTTTCTTTTTTCTTTTTTTTTAGTTCTGGGAGGCTTTAACGGCCTTTTGCAGAAAATTACCAAACAAATCTTTCTTTCTCGTCTTTTTAGAGATTTGCCTGCTGACCAAGGGACGCCGCACTGCCAGTGTCCGAGCCGACACATATTGTCGTCTGTATTCGCTTTCTGTGGACAATTTCAATGAGGTCCTGGAGGAATATCCAATGATGAGAAGAGCCTTTGAGACGGTTGCCATTGACCGACTAGATCGGATAGGTACTCTGCTTAGTTTTCTTCTCTGTGCACAATTTAGTTTTAATCAAGTGGACTGACATATATATATATATATACATAGTTTCAATTATAAGTCCCAAATGCTAGTTTATAGATTGCTTCTTAATTAGCATAGAAATAGCAATTAGCTCTAGCCATATTTCTAGAAAGATCTGAGGCTCTATCTAACTTTCTCTTCTAACTATTCTAGGTTTGTTTATTCATTTCTGTTTTTACTAGCTACACAGTCTGATTTCCTCAGTGATACCAAAACAATTTGAATCTTAAGGTAAAAAGCAATGAAAAAAATTCTAGATTGCATTAAAATAGAACTAAAAATACAATAGTATGAGTCTACATTACAAACCCAATTTTATAACAAGATTTTTAAGGATCAACTTTATATTTTATTCTTATATTAAGAATTGAAAACTTGTGCATTTTAATTGTCTCAGGAGAAACTTCTTGAAATGTTTGTAATACAGACTCAAGCAGAAAAAGCCTTAATAGAAGAACCCACATAGATGCTTTACTTTGCATGGATCAACTTATTTTAAAGTCTTCTCTGCTCTCAGATAAAAATATGTAAGTTAGACCTTATTAGTTACACTAGTTTAAAGATTTGGATAATTGCCATAGTAAAGTTAGATCAGATGGGCTTGCTGTTAACTTCCCAAGATATGCTGGAACATTCTGATGTCAGAAGGTGGTATGCATTCATTTTCCACACCCAGATCCTCCTGCCTCACCCTACCCTCCTGTGCTCCCTTTCCCTGCTTAACTCTACCCACCTTCCTATCTCAAGTTAGACATCACTTCCCTGTAGAAACCTCCATGACCTCCCACTCCCGTACTAGGCTGAGTACCCTGGATATGTTCTCCCTTATCGCTGGGAAATTTCTCCATCACAGCACTGCTTTTATTCTTTAAGCTGCTCTAGCGATGCTAAGCTTTGTGAATGTAGAGATCATGTCTAATTCACTGTTAATTCACAGTACCTAGTACACAATGAATATTGGTGAAGAGAGTTAGGGAGGGATGAAGGAATCAATGAACTCAAAGGAGATGGGGTTGGGAATCACTGGAAAGTAAACAAAGAGGTACTTCAACTGCTTCGTTCTTATAAAAGGTAAGGACTTTTGATTGATGTATTGTCGTGCCAGCTTTTCTTCTGCACTTTACATCTTTCTTTTCCCCTATATTGGTAGGACAACGGACTGCAAAAGGATCTGAAAGTAGATTAGGAGAAGTAAAGGTAGTATTTGGACATTACCATTAGACATCACACACATATTAGAAAGTATACTGATAGTTTAGAGATGTAACAGGATGGTGTGTCCAGGAGACAGTGCCCAAAAAAGAAGTGAGTACATCTGAGAGCATCATTACTTAATTTGAAAATAACTTCCTTCTTTGTGGTATGTTGAGTATTTATGGTAGAGCGAGAGACTAATTTCTGAGTATATGAGGTTTTTTTCTAAGCCAGCTAGACATATTTAGCAAAAGCACCAAAATCAGGTTATTTCAATAGAAAATTTCTGTTAATCTGATAGAGCAGCACACTCATCTAACTTATTGCAATTGATTTTTCGTTAGAAAGTTTGCGTGAAATGGTTTGCAATCAATAATACAGGCAATAAAATTGCTGGTGAGCACCAAGCATTTGCATTCTTAATTCTTACAGGATTCTAACAGTGCTTTAAAAGTTATAGTATTTTTACACAAGGGCCCAGATACTTGAATGATGAAATGTTGACTATTCACATGATCACAAATATTATCCTTCTCAGTTTTGTGGCCATTGCTTATAAATGTATACACTATAGTTAAAGGAATATGCTAAGTAAGCATTTATATTTTCTACTAATGTAGAAGTCTTTGTTCTTTGGGAAATTAAGACAATTCTGTAAAGAGAGGCAGGTAACTATTCATTTCGGTAGCCATTTAAAATGATTGCCTTTCCCAGCATCCAAGTAAATTATAACACATACTGCCATTCAAAAATATACCTTGTTACTTTAGACGTGATACTTTATTTAGTGATGATGGCAAATTAATTTACTTTTCAGTCACTATATTTACCTGGGTATGACTTTATTCATGATGTCATTAAAAAGTCACCGATTTCCCTTTCATCAACCTGCAGTTGATTCTAATTGCCACTTTGCTAGAGAATGTCTTCTTACTGCAAACCACTCCACAGACAAGAGCGGGAAGGAGAGGCCCTGCTTCCTGAGGTCCTCGATGAGCGAGAGCTTGCCATACACGATGCCCCTTGGTCCTCACAGCAACTTTTCAGAAGAGGAAAGATTGTGAAACGCTTCTCAGTCTGGTTGCCCATGAGAACCCCCTGGGGAAATTTGCTTTTAAAGTACTGAAAACTGGGCCCACGTCTGGTTAGGCCAATTTAATTGGCAGGGTGCAGTTGAAAATCAGTCCTTGGAAATCTCCAGAGATGAGAAGATGCAAGTAGAGTGGACAGTCATGGTGGGGGGCACTGGTCAGAAGCAAAGGCCTTTGCTTCTCAAACTTGCATGTGAGAATCACCTGGGGATCTATTAAAATACAGCATCTGCTCAGCAAGGGCGGGGGTGGGGGCGGGAGCCTTCATTTCCAGCAAACAGGCACGGGATACACATGTGGCTGGCTCACAGTCTGTAGTAAGTCGGCCATCAGAGTTACTGGTTTCCTTTCCCAGCCCTGTCACTTGGTAACCATGTTTTCTTGGGCATTATTCTTAACTGCGCCCCAGTCTACTTTTGGGTGAAATAGGATTATGAGCTCACCTACCTCAAGAGTTGAAGATTAAATAAAATAAATCTACCTGATGTCTTGTGTAGAGCACCTGTCACAGAGCAAGTGTTCCATTGCCCTCTCTTGAAAAAGAAGCTTTAAACTGAAATCTTGATTTGAAATCTGATCCAAAGGCCCTTTTTCCCCTCCCAAGGTAGTCCTCAGGACACGTATCTCCATTTCTTCTGTAAGGTGGCTTTTGCCATGTTACACACTTTTCAACCTGACTTGTGTAGAAGGTAAGATTTCCCAGAAAGATACAGGAAGCGTGAAAGGGAGAAGCCACGTTTCTGTTTGGTTTCCGAAGGTGAGTACGTGGCGTTTAAGCCCCTCCCATGAGACACTGCCACCCTTCTGTCTGCAAGGCCACTCTCACTTGGAGTTGCCATCAGTCTTTTGTAGGCTTTCTAAGGGCCTATCTTTCTTTCGCTGACAGGAAAGAAAAATTCAATTCTTCTGCAAAAGTTCCAGAAGGATCTGAACACTGGTGTTTTCAACAACCAGGAGAACGAGATCCTGAAGCAGATTGTGAAACACGACCGGGAGATGGTGCAGGCGATCGCTCCCCTCAGTTATCCCCAGATGACGGCCCTGAACTCCACATCTTCGACGGCCACTCCGACGTCCCGCGTGAGGACACAGTCTCCGCCGGTGTACACCGCCCCCAGCCTGTCGCACAGCAACCTGCACTCCCCCAGCCCCAGCACGCAGACCCCGCAGCCCTCGGCCATCCTCTCGCCCTGCTCCTACACCACTGCGGTCTGCAGCCCGCCCGTCCAGAGCCCGCTGGCCTCTCGAACTTTCCACTACGCCTCCCCCACGGCTTCCCAGCTGTCACTCATTCAGCAGCAGCCCGTCCAGCAGTCCCAGCCGCCGCCGCCCCAGCCGCCGCCCCACCAGCCGCAGGCATCCGGCAGCTCGACGCCGAAAAACGAAGTGCACAAGAGCACGCAGGCGCTTCACAACCCCAGCCTGACCCGCGAAGTCCGGCCCCTCTCGGCCTCGCAGCCCTCGCTGCCCCATGAGCTTTCCACCATGATTTCCAGACCGCATCCCACTGTGGGCGAGTCCCTGGCCTCCATCCCTCAGCCCGTGACTGCGGTGCAGGCAGCCGGCCGGGGCACTGTCCCCCAGAGAGTCACCCTGTTCCGACAGATGTCGTCGGGAGCCATCCCCCCCAACCGAGGAGTCCCCCCGGCACCCCCTCCACCAGCAGCGGCTCATCAGAGAGAGTCATCGTCAGTCTTAAGTACAGACCCAGAGGCAGAAAAGCCACGATTTGCTTCAAATTTATGATCCCTGCTGATTGTCAAAGCAGAAAGAAATACTCTAATAAACTGAGAATATGCTCAGACCTTATTTTATTCTATCTCCTGATAGATCCCTATAGCCTACTATGAAGAGATATTTTAGACAGCTCTGGCCTACATGCAAAATGTAAAATATATATATATATATATACATATACGATTAAATCTACACCTAAAAGTCTCAAGAGAAGTTCAAAAGACTTGTTTAGCATTCAGTGTTATATGTCTTCCTTTCTTTAAATCATTAAAGGATTTAAAATGTTGTTGTAAGATTATTTATTTTTAACCTACTTTTACTTAATTCCTTTGATATATGTATTTCTCTATTTTATGAAGAGTTCTTGAATTCAATGGAAACAAACCTCTGGTTTTAAAAAGGCAACTCAAGTGAGCTACTGAATAGCACCAATGAAAACTTCTCTCATTAGCTGTCTCTCTGCATCTAAATTGTTAGTTATTAATTATGGAGGATTCAAGAGCAAATCCCATTTTATAGCTCTAAATTGTTTTTTGGTGCTTTCAATTTTGAATTAGGTTAAAGATCACACCTTATGCTTGGCCGTGGTAGGGGACTAGCATTGCCACCGCTATGACTTTCTCTAACCTCAAACACGTCCACGATCTTTTAGAGAGCTGAGGGGATATTTCTCTTCACGTGTTATCGGACTTTTACCAAGACTCAATCAATGTTAGTTGTAAATAACTTTTCCAACCCAGATAAAAATACCTATTCTGTGCTGTATGAAGGTAAAAGTCATCATTGAAGAATTTAGTTTTATTGCTTCACTTCGAAACTTAGATTTTAAATTTTACAAAACCTAATTGTGACACTTACTCAACTGTAATGCAATGGCTTGAAACCTACAATATTATTTTAACCTGCAATGTTTTATGCAAAACTGTATGCTCGATTCTACAAATTGCTTGTATTACACCGAACATCATTCCTTTTCTTCCTTCTTGCCATAATCAAGCATCCGAAAATAGGCCCTGCATGCTTTTTGGGGAAAAAAAAAAAGGTTCAAAGCATGTAGGGAAAAGGCTTACAGTATTTCTCGTTCTTAGACAAGTATAACCATTCATTAATTGCCTATCTTGAAATTCCTATAAGGCTGACTTGGATCTCTGACTTAAGTCTAGAAGTGAGGTTTTCACTTTCGTTTAATGTTATTATTATTATTATCATTATTAGTAGTATTATTATTTCAAAAATGATTTGTAAACCATAGCTTGATTTGGAGTCACCAGTGTGTTCTGTGTCTTCACTGTAGTTGGTAGTTTACAGTGGTGTTAATTTAAAAAATAAATACACTATAGCATCATGTCTGCTTGGGAATACACACTTTGCGCTATGTGTATTGTAACTAAATAGCTAGTAACTCTGAAGGCATGTGGTGACTAACATAGCCCTTAGATAGGAGGTTTGGTGTTTTAAAAGTGCTGCAAAAAGTACAGACATGGTGCCAGCAAGCAGGGGTCAAACCGAATGTCTGTGAGCATTGTTTGTTTGTTTGTCTGTTTCCTTAGCTCTTTCCACGATCTCTGAGCATCTGCTTCTTCTCAAAGAAGTCCCTTAGAGATCAGTTGTGCCTAATGCATCCCACGAATATGGTGGATGACTGGAACACAGGTGGAAGGTTCCTAATAACTGACTTCTGTACACAACCCAAGTTAAGACAATGACCTAAAGGAAGGTCTTCCTTATCTCTGACATTGGCGATCCATTTAAGAAGAACTTGACAAAGATCACGCATGAAATGGGGCAGGGCCTCCAGACAGACTTGAGGACAGAAAACAAAAACAAAAGCAAAAACTCTAAATTGGATCCTTGCTGCCTGTTACGCCTTTTATGGAGCTGATACCTATAATACCAAAATGAGTTGTTATGTTTAATTTCTAACAGCCCAGCTTGTGTGAAAGGAATCAATGTGATGTTATCATGAACACGCTGGTGACCTATGCTGGTGCTTCAGGAATGGTGTAAGAAAGGGATTGTTCGGTCTACCTAGAACCTATGGGGAAGCTGCAAGACCATTTACATATCAGTACAAAACTCCTTTATTTTATTAAAATACTGAGAATGAACTTCAATTTATGAGCATCATATATTGGCCCTTTAAATTATTAAAGGTTTACATTTGATAGGACTAATGGGTTTGGTAGTGAAATATTTTTATATACATATATAAATTTTTGGTTTTTTATTTTGAGCACTATTGAGAAACATAAGCAAAATTGAACTGCATGGTCTTTCAGTGCAACCATAAAATTTTTATTCACTTTGTAACAGAATGGACAAAAAAAAAAACCCTAAGGTTTATATGTTAAAAATAAAGTGGTACAGGGTAAATTATATACATATATATGTATGAATATATATACTTAGGTTAAGAAAAATTGACTCACATTCCTGTAATATAAAAGTCCACTGCTAGTTGAAAAGTGACCTCTTTTCTCTGTACATAGTTAAGCCCATAAGTATGGAGTTTTAAACTGTACAGAAAGAAATGTATTATTGAAAAGACTGGTCTTCCTGCTGCTGGGAAAATAGTAGAAAAGCTAATTCTTACAAAAACTGTATGATCAGGGATGAGTTAGAGTATTTCTTTTGTCTTTGCTCAAAGCCATACATATATAAATATATATAAAGATTATTAATAAATTCAACAGAAAATAAACTAAAACCATGAATATTTTATTTTATCAATATAGTCTAATCAAATGTTTTGTTTTATTAATGAGTACAGATTTGCCTCTGTCTTTCTGCCTTTACATCATAAGATTTCCAAGAGGGCTTATACTCGATAATCACTGTAAAATTAGTTACAGGTTTTCTATACGTGTAGAAAGCAAAGAACTTAAATTGGATTTTCCAGCTATTCCTGTGTTTTACATCTTCTACAATGTACAAGTTGAGTTTTCTTTAATTCTTCACATTATACTTCCTTAGTGTATGATTGTTGTCCATTTTCAAAACACAGACGTTTCTGTACTATTATTGGAAACGAGGATGACAAATAATTGCCCTATAATTTACATATACAAACCTATTTTATGATAGACTTGAGTCTTGCAAAGGCTTTGGAAAGTGATAGAACCTCCCTATGCAAATGGGTGGATTTTGAATCAGACCTAGAAGCCTGAGACAGAGTTTATTACAGTGAGTGAAGGATTCTCGAAAACTCTACAGATAAGTGGCAGGAATGCCAACAGATTATATTCATCAAATACATGGCCTGTCTCCAAGTCTCGGGGACCACCCACAACTAAAGTGAATAATTCCCTGATGCATACTGCTCCACTTTGCAAGGGTGGTTATTTTTCCATTTACAAACCTAAATGAGCATAATATTTGCAGGAAACTACAAAGTACAGAGTCAGGTTACTAGAATACACCTAATAGGTAGGGGTGATTTAAACAGAATGTTTTGAATTTTAGATATAGTATTTCAAATCCTGAATTAATTACCCTTCAAAGTATAAGCAATCTCTACCATCTTTCAGGTTTATTTTTAAAGACACCATGCCTTCTTTTTCCACTTGTGTTTGTGTTTGTCCCTTTTATTATTCTACTTTGCTTCTGTGGATCTCAGTTTCATTATTTATAACATTAAGCTGTTTCTCTCCTTTCTACCTCTATGCTTCTAGAATATGTGTCATAAAGCCCAGGTGTGATTAATCCTGTTCATTTGCATTACACCTAGCAAAGCTTCATTACACGCTCTATTTGAAAAATGACTTACACTGTACAATATGAAAGAAATGTAGTCATTATAGAATAATTGGATACTGGGCATCAATAGCTACTTATGTCCTGAAAGGAATAGTCAGAAATTTTAAAGCATGACTGGCTTCATGCATGGAATTAGAGCTCGGCTCTATACTTTCATTCACTCAGCCCTTTTTCTAGGGAAAAAAAAAATGGATAGAACGATCAGGGTTAAGTATATCTGCTACTGGCACTCGGAAGCAGTGATTTTCTTAAATAGTTTTGATGCTTTCCTTTTTTAAGAAAATGACATCTATATTTTATAAATTGGCCAACAATGAAGTCAATCATGAAGAGAATCTCTGCTTTTAAAAGACTACAAAGAAAGTAGAAAGTACCTTGTCTAAATTCATCAAGGATTTAGAAGCAAATTGGCCATATTCCTCCTCCTCCCATTTTGAAGTCTTTGACCAAAGGCCACATTGCTTCCTTCTCTGGGAGCTATTGACATTTCTGTTAATTTTTGTCATTTTGTTCTTCCTCATTTCCTTCATAGCTTTAGGGTATGAAAAGCATGAGTTTTTCTACACAGGAAAAATGTTATGGCGTATTCACAAATCTGCTGCCAGAAAAAGATAATTTTATTATAGTTGTTTAGGAGAAAATGTTAGTGATTTTGTGACACTTGATTGCTTTTCAGTTTTGATTACTCCCTCAATTGTACTGGAAAGGTGCAGGTATGAACTGCTCAAAGTATGACTTTCTGCTGTCTAACGTAATGAAGTATTTCATTTGAGAAATATTAAATAGTGCTTAATAGATAAAGTACTTGCCTACACTGTATAGCATATATTCTCCATATAACTGCATGCCAAAGATCAAATGTATATTAAAGATATTGGCTTGTAAACCAGCAGATGGAAAGATTCAGGTGATTGTCCTCTTCACAGTAATTACCTTAAAATGCTAAACACAAATCCCAAAGACAGTAGCATGAGTCAAAATACCTTTGGCCACCCAGTTCAGGACACTCTAAAGACCAGTAGCAAGTTGATATGTGTGTCCTCAACTGTGGTTTATCTCTACTTGATAGCAGTAAGTTCCATTTTTGGAGTCAGTCAAAGCTCATTTGAAGCCTTATTTTCTTAATATAGTAAATGATTAGTTTGGCATCACTACGATCAAAACAAATTGTGATCAGTTTTACGTGTGGCTCATAAACTGTCTCCAAAGGCCTTCTACATTGTTCCAAGATCCTTTAGCTTTCCAAATTCAAACTCTCAAGATTCTAAACATCTGTGATGTTTATCTATAAAGTTCTAATAACTATAGCTTTATACCTAACCGAAGCATTTGGGTTTTTTTACTGTAATAGAACAATGATCCAATCCATTGATTTGGGCCTTTTTTTTTTTTTTGCGTAGTTCTTTTTAAAGGGATGATTACATATGACATCCTGTATTTCTGTGAATACATGGTATTGAACTTTAATTTCTCCACATTTGAAACTCTCAGATAATAGCTTTTTAAATTGGTAACTGTAATGAAAGTTTAGTCTTTTTCAAGCTAGTTTATTATTAGCCTTTACAAGAGCCACATAAGCAGAGTTCTTCTATGTGATTTTGTTAATTTCTCCAAGCTATGAGTGTTGGCAAGTTTTGAGACTTTATCTAACTTGTTAAAACAATTTGTCATATAAACTGATCAAACAGAAGTCAAAATTTTAATTCAAACTTAACAAGAGAGTTCTGTCTAAACCTGTTTAAAGATTCCATCTAAGTAGGACTATTTCATAAGAAGATAATTAAAAGATTGGTTTAACAATCACTTTTTAAGAAAATTATCTGGTTAAAGAATATTAACCTTTCTATAAATCTGAGTATTAGTTGAGTGAGGAAATATTCCCAGCAAACATCTTAATTTCTTGAAAATCTGTCAGAAAATTGCTCAAGCATTTTATCATGAATGTTAAGTTCTTTCCAAAAGGACAGTAAAATATGTTTCAGAAAAAGTTCTGGCCCTACGTAGCTTTGAGAAATAACTTTTTCTTTTCAGTTGTAACATGTATGACAGTAAAAGGTAAACTTTTCTGCACACATTTTTAGGTGACTTCAATAGTTACGGCTATCTAAGGAATTAGTTTATATCTGTAAAATGTTAAGTGTCTGTACCAACTCATTTAAAACAATTCTTGCCAATAGTCTCAGCACAACATAGTTCTCAAAACACATGTTTCTCTGATGGCAAAAAATAGCAAAGTTTCTTGCAAAACAAAAAAAAAAGTTGTGGTTTTTTTTTCCCTAAAGCTGCTGTATCTCCCCAAATTATGAAATATTTAACGACTCAAAGCCTCGTGTTATATAAGGAGATGATGTCTTTGGAAATTTTGAAAGCTGACTTTATTCATTTATTTTAGAGCTGAAAGCAAAAAAAAAAAGGGGGGGTAGAATTGACCACCACTCAAAAACAAAAACACATCTCGTCTCGATTCTCAAACTGTCCCAAGCTCATCTGCTATACCTCAACACAGTTCAGGACTTCTGCCTCCCCACCTTACCAGGCATTGTTTTAGGATCCACAGGGGCTACAGGCGTTTGGATTCACAAGGAAACACACTTTGCCAATTATATATATATATTGGGAAAGCAGTTCAAGTACAGTGCCTGAAAATAAAAAATGACACCGGAGATCAAATATATATCTGAAAAGAGCTTTAAATATTCATTTTGATAGTGAAGAGTGTCACCGTGTTAGTTCCAAAGAACAAAAAGGAATATGACATTGAAGAGGTGATGCAGATTTAGTTTTGAACGTGTGGCGTAGAATTTGGTTATCATGAAGGGGCTGACTGCTGTCATCACTTATTACCACATTCTCCCCCCCTACTTTCCTGCTCGTGTATTTTCACAGATTCCTCAGGATTTTTAAAGATGTTTTCTATGGATCTTTTGGAACAATGTGCTTAATAATCTATTTGTTATGACAAGTCTTCTCAAATAATCATGTGCTCCTGTTTATAATGAAGGTTAAAATGTATGCCATAAGCAAAGATATGCATTGCAAAGGAAGTCACACTTTTTTTAAATAAATAACAAATAAAGGAATGGGGCAGAACCAGTTAGCTTATAATGCTGAAAGTAAAGGGAGAAGACATAGGTTATAGGAGCTCAGTTTCAACAGATTAGAAATAAAGGCTACATTAGGAAGGAGGAAAGTTTGGGAAAGCATTGCGATATTTTTATGCCTGTTTCAGAACTTCTCTTCTTAGCTATGAGATATTAACGATGGCATCGATATAAATGCTGGGCACTTCGTCTCAAAAAAAAATGTGACTGCTTTGGAGAGGGGAGAGTGTAGACTGAACTAAGAGTGTGAAAAGGCTTGAAAATGTGACCTCTTCAGAAATAAGAAACAACCAAAATGCAGCTTTTCAAATGAAAGAGGCGCAATCTTACGAGTGGACAAAGAATGGCTCAGCGGGAGGGGAAATTTCTATGTGCAAAGGGCAGGACACACAGAGGGCTTCTGCTCCCATACAGCACACTCAACAGAGAAAAGCCATCAAAGGACCACAGAACTCTAACATAAGAAATCCACTAATACTACGTACGCTCACACAAAACTGTCTGAGAGCTATATCATCTCGCGTACTTAACAATAGCAGAATTCTGTATGTAAAGACTTCCAACCTAATGGGTATCAATCCCTAGAGTGTGTGGGTTTGTATAGGGAAATTGAGACCTTTAAAAAAAGAACTCTGATGTAACTGAGTACCAGTATTTATACATTAACTTTTAAATTCTTTTATTACAAATACCTTTCTATTAGGTCTGATTCCCATTACACTTAAGAAATGACATGTATTCATTTAAAAAAATTTTATTTTTTCAATGGTTGTCATTTCAGAAGAGTAATGGCACTACTGTAAAATATTAGTTATAAACAGGGGACTCAGATAGGGATAAGAACCTAAAT